CATGGCTGCAGTCACCATCTGCAGTGATTTTGCAGCCCCCAAAAAATAAAGTCTGTCATTGTTTCCCCATCTATTTGCCACGAAGTGATGGGACTGGAAGCCATGATTTTAAAACCACAAAACCAATAAATAAATAAATAAAACCACAAAACCCAGACCCTTCTCCCATGATAATAGAAGACACGGGGAATATGGCTGCCCAGATAGACTGTATTTCTGGGGTGTTAAGTATTGACTATGGTCTTGCTTATGGAGCCTAGTAGAAGTGATGTGCTGCTTCTGGGTCTGGATCTAAGACTTTTGAGTGCCTCCTCCATCATTTCCCACCCCCACCCCTCATTCCTGCCAGCTGTCACCTAGACGCATCAATGACACAGCTTCAACCAAACAGATGGTGACATGCCCTAGTGCTTGCGGAAAACAAAAATGTAAGGAATCAGGTCTCCCGAATGACCACGTAGACAAGCGCTGTCCCACCAACATGAACTGTTTACCTCAGACTGGCATGGGAATGATTTATTTCTTAATGCAGTGTTGAATATCTTTATTTCAGCACTTTATTCTCTCCATATCCCAACTAATGCAAAATGATAACACAGAAGACAAGGTGGTAGCTACCTCAAGGAGAGGCACATAAGGAGCTTCTAAGATCCAATAATATTCTGTACCTTAACCTGAGTGATGGGTATACTGGTATTGATTGGCTTTATTCCTTTAAAATTTTTTATTTTTTATTTATTCATCTGACTGCACCAGGTCTTAGTTGCAGTGTGTGGGATCTAGTTCCCCCACCAGGGATCAAACCCAAGCCCCCTGCATTGGGATCACAATGGGGTCCTAGCCACTGAACCACCAGGGAAGTCCCTGGGTTTATTCTTATTCTTTTAAATACACACTCTTTTGTATGTATATGTGTTTGCATGAATCAACCTAAAGTTCTAAAAAGTTAAAAATAGAGTAATAATGAAATACCTTTTGATGCTTGCTGTATTGGTAAACATTAAAAAGTCTGATCACTCACCTAGAGCCAGACATCCTGGAATATGAAGTCAAGCGGGCCTTAGGAAGCATCACTACAAACAAAGCTAGTGGAGGTGATGGAATTTCAGTTGAGCTATTTCAAATCCTAAAAGATGGTGCTATGAAAGTGCTGCACAAATGCCAGACAATTTGGAAAACTCAGCAGTTACCACAGGGCTGGAAAAGGTCAGTTTTCATTCCAATCCCAAAGAAAAGCAATGCCAAAGAATGTTCAAACTACCGCACAATTGCGCTCATCTCACACACTAGCTAAGTAGTGCTCAGAATTCTCCAAGCGAGGCTTCAACAGTACATGAACCAAGAAATTCCAGATGTTCAAGCTGGAAAAGGCAGAGGAACTAGAGATCAAATTGCCAACATCCGTTGGATCATCAAAAAAGCAAGAGAGTTACAGAAAAATATCTGCTGCTTTATTAACTATGCCAAAGCCTCTGACTGTGTGGACCACAACAGACTGTGGAAAATTCTTAAAGAGATGGGACTACCAGACCACCTTACCTGCCTTCTGAGAAATCTGTATGCAGGTCAAGAAGCAACAGTTAAAACTGGACATGGAACAACAGACTGGTTCCAAATTGGGAAAGGAGTACATCAAGGCTGTATATTGTCACCCTGCTTATTTAACTTATATACAGAGTACATCATGCAAAATGCTGGCCTGGATGAAGCACAAGCTGGAACTGAGGTTGCTAGGAGTGATATCAATAACCTCAGATATGCAGATGACACCACCCTTATGGCAGAAAACGAAGAGAAACTAAAGAGCCTCTTGATGAAAGAGGAGAGTGAAAACGCCAGCTTTTTCACTCTTAAATATTCAAAAAACTCAAACTCAACATTCAAAAAACTAGGATCATGGCATCTGGTCCCATCACTTCATGCAAATAAATGGGGAAACAATGGAAATAGTGACAGACTTTATTTTCCTGGGCTCCCAAATCTCTGCGGATGATGACTTCAGACATGACATTAAAAGACGCTTGCTCCTTGGAAGAAAAACTATGACCAGCCTAGACAACATATTAAAAAGGGAGACATTACTTTGCTGACAAAGGTCCGTCTAGTCAAAGCTATGGTTTTTCCAGTAGTCATGTATGGATGTGAGAGTTGGACTATAAAGAAAGCTGAGTGGAGAAGGAAATGGCAACCCACTCCAGTACTCTTGCCTGGAGAATCCCATGGACAGAGGAGCCTGGTGGGCTACAGTCCATGGGGTTACAAAGGGTTGGACACTACTGGACTGAGCGAGCACACACACAAGCTTTCGTGTAAAGGAGAAAGTAATAAAAACATACACTTAAACTGGATAACATGATAGAACTCAAAAGCAACACTAAATTTGTTTGCAAAGCTATTTACTTTGTTTTTCTTTCCTTAACCTATCCTTCCATTTCTGTCTTGTATAATGAAATCTGTTATTTTTTTCTTTCATCAACTAACCAAATTACTAGTTCTCTTTTGCAGTTCAAAATGTACTAATATGTTCATTTTAGTAGAATTTATTAAATAAGTATCAAGTTGCTGCACAACTAGTAGGGAAAATGTAATGTAAAAATAACAAGATACTTTTATAAAAGAAATAAAGCATTATCTTTCAGTAAGCAAAAATAAAATAAAGCTGAGCGCTGAAGAATTGATGCTTTTGAACTGTGGTGTTGGAGAAGACTCTTGAGAGTCCCTTGGACTGCAAGGAGATCAAACCAGTCCATCCTAAAGGAAATCAGTCCTGAATATTCATTGGAAGGACTGATGCTGAAGCTCCAATATTTTGGCCACATGATGCGAAGAACTGAGTCATTGGAAAAGACCCTGATGCTGGGAAAGATTGAAGGCGGGAGGAGAAGGGGATGACACAGGATGAGTTGGTTGTATGGCATCACCTACTCGACGGATGTGAGTTTGAGTAAGCTCCCGGAGTTGGTAATGGACAGGGATACCTGTGTGCTGCAGTCTGTGGGGTCACTAAGAGTCGGACACAACTGAGCAACTGAACTGAAAAAGTCTGATAATGTTCAACATTGGAGTGTGTATGGCAGAACTAGCATCTTCCTAAATTTCAATAGAAAGGTAAATTGGCCTAAACTTTTTTGAGTATAATTTTACATTATGTATGAAAATTTTAAATATATAGAGAAAATTGACAAGAAGAAGACAACCCAATTTTTTAAAATGAGCAAAAGATTTGAACAGACACTTTACAAAAGGTAGCATTCCAATGGCCAATAATCTATATGAAAAGGTGCTAAGTCTCATCACTCATCAGGGAAATATAAAATAAAGCCACAGTAATACTCTTGCAGTTTAGCAGAGTGGCTAAAATTAAAAGGCCTGACTGAAAAACCAAATGTCGGTGAGGAAATGGAAGGAAATGCAACAACTGAAAGTGTATATTGGTTACAACCGCTTTGGAAGATGGTTCTGCAGTATGTGCTAAATTGAGCACAGGTATGAGCTAAAACTCTGGAGAAGGAAATGACAACCCAGTCCAATCTTCTTGCCTGGAAAATTCCATGGACAGAGGAGCCCCGCGGGCTACAGTCTGTGGGTCGCGAAGGGTCAGACACGACTGAGCGACTGACACACACGTGAGCTAAAACGCACGTGCCCTATGACCTAGCAGTTCCACTCCTGGATACAGGCCTAATTAAGATGCATACACACGTTTTTACAGTAACTTTATTTATAATAGCCCAAACTGGAAATAACCCAACGTCTATCAGCAGTGGAATGGTTAAATGGATTGTGATATATTCATATAACACATATACCATATATTCATATATTCCTGTGTAATCCCACATAGCAATGAAAAAATAACCAGCACATAACATACACAGCATGGATGATTTCACAGACACAATATTGAGTGGAAGGAGCTGATGCAAGAGTAATATTGTATAATTCCATTGCTATGAAGTTCAAAAACAAAACTAGTAAGTGCTATCAGAATAATGGTTATCTTTGAGGGAGATAATGATTAACAGGGGATACATGGACCCTTCCAGGGTGCTGGAAATTCTTTTTTTTTTTTAGTTTTAGCTTCACCGGGTCTTGGTTGCAGCGTGCAGGCTTTCTCTAGTTGTGGCATGCGGGGGGGCGTCTCTGGTTGTGGTACGTGAGGGCTTCTCTACTTGCCCCGAGGCACGTGAGACCTTAGTTCCCTGACCAGGGATCATACTGTCTTCCCCTGCATTGGAAGGTGGATTCTTAACCATTGGGCCACCAGGGAAGTGCCGTGGAAATTCCGTGTTTTGATCTGGATCTGTACATTTGTAAACCTTTATCGAGCTCTACACTTAAGATTTGAGCACCGTACGTTTACTTTAATTAAAAAAAAGTAAAAAAATAAATCCAACGGTCTAATTAAAATAAAACATAACGTCCATAACCTAACTAAAGTCAGGACAAGAAAGGATGGGGACTCCCCTGGTGGTACAGTGGATAAGAATTTGCCAACGCAGGGGACATGTGTTCAAACTCTGATCCGGAAAGATTCCGTATGCCTCAGAGCAACTAAAGCCCGTGCGCCTAGAGCCTGTGGTTCGCAGCGAGAAGCCTGCACGCCCCAACGAGGAGCCACTAGTAGCCCCGCAACTAGAGGAACCTGCACATAGCAACAAAGACTCAGCAACATGAAAAATTAATCAACTAATTAATTGTTTTAATAAGACAGGAATGGCCGTCAACTGTACTACCACTTACCATGGTGCTGAAAGTATTGACCAGAGCAATCAGAAAAGAGGAAGAAATTAGATGTATGGAAATTAGAAAAGAGGACGTAACACTTTTACTATTTGTTGATAATATAATCAAATACTTAGAAAACCCAAGAGAATCAACTAAAAAGCTGCTGTTTAGTGAAATGACAGGGTTTAAATTATCTACAGAAGTCAGAAAACTCCCTGCACACAAATACTCCAGGTCTTCACCATGAATATCTCTTGTGTGTATCCTCTTAGGGGCCCATGTGACCAGTCCCCTTGGGTGAGTGCCCACGAGCAGGATCCCTGGGTCAGAGGCTTCATGTGTTCTTCATTTGATTGACACAGCCAGATGGCCATCCGGGACGGCTGTACCAGCTGACACACCCACCAGCGTCCTCGTGAGTGTCTGCCATGTCCCTAGAGAATGTGCTTCTGCAACGTGGGGGCTGAACCGAGAGAGAGAATGACACGGGATCCAGGAAGCAAGGATTCTAACCCAGGATTGTGAGGAAAGAAATTCCCAGGATGTGTGGCAGGTTGGAGCAAGACGATGTGAGGCTGTGGGAAGGAGGCTTCCAGGAAATTAATAGTTGAGCCACTGCATTTAAGTGGTTTGAAAATATTATATTGATAGGTATTTGAAGAACCTGTTGGAGACTTTTGGGGGGAAATTGGGGGGAAAAAAAAGACAGTGCAAATGTAAATACAAGGCAATCATTAGTGGAATAACTCAAAGTTATCAAAGACAGGAAGGAGGCAGGAACTTCCCTGGTGGTCCAGTGGTTAAGACTCTGTGCTTCCACTGCAGGGGCTGCTGGTTCAATCCCTGGTCAGGGACCTAAGCTGACCTAACCTGACCAGGTTGGCTTCAACCAAAGGGAAAAAAAAGAACACTGTTGCTGAAAGTGAAAGTGTTAGTTGCTCAGTCATGTCCAACTCTTTGCAACCCTATGGACTGCAGCCCACCAGGCTCCTCTGTCCATGGGATTCTTCAAGCAAGATACTGGAGTGGGTTGCCATTTCCTCCTCCAGGGGGTCTTCCCAACCTTGGGGCTTCCCAGGTGGTGCTAGTGGTAGAGAACCCGCCTGCCCATGCAGGAGATGCAAGAGACATGGTTCAATCCCTGGGTTGAGAAGATCCCCAAGAGGAGGGCATGGCATCCCACTCCAGTATTCTTGCCTGGAAAATCCCATGGACAGAGGAACCTGGTTGGCTACAGTCCACGGGGTCATGAAGAGTCAGACACGACTGAAGCATTTGGCATGCAGGGATAGAACCCGAGTCTCCTGCATTGCATGCAGATTGTTTACCTTCAGAGCCACCAGGGAAGCCCTGTTGCTGACCTACCATCAGATGTTTTCTTTATTATTTCATCTTCTTTCTGCTTTTTTTGTTTTCTGTCTGGGAATGTCCTGATTCTCATAATCTTCCTTTCTCTCTACTGCTTTAAGGTTCATTATCTGTTTTTCTTGGCTGTAATAATTCTTCTCTTTATCTTCATGACTTTGACCATAAGAAGTTTTAGTGTTGTGATAAAATGATACCTTTTAATGTTCCAAACTTTCTGTACCTGAAGAAAGGTGTTTCACTTTCTTTCATTTTAGGTATTTCACATCCTCTAGGTTATCTCCTTACCATATCTGAATTTTGACGTGATCAACAATTCAGAAAGAATCTATAAAATTAATCTGAAATGAAGTCATACAAATGACAACTCAAACATGTTTCAGCTGCTGTGATGTGTTGCATCCCATTATTATAATCAAATTGTATACTTCATACATTGATGTATACTTCCATACTCATTGATAGAAATGTGTGGGAGCCTTGTCTCAGGAACACTTGTTTCTGTGGCTGTTTTGCTGCCTCGGGGATGGTTTTGCCAACCAGACTTCATCAGGATAAGGTGCATCAGATATGCAAATTTGCATTCCAACAGACTGGGATGTGGGCTTCCCAGGTGGTGCTAGTTGTAAAGAGTCCATCTGCCAGTGCAGGAGACATAAGAGATGCAGGTTCGATCCCTGGTTTGGGAAGATCCCCTGGAGAAGGAAATGGCAACCCACTCCAGTATTCTTACCTGGAGAATCCCATGGACAGAGGAGCCTGGTGGGCTATAGTCCATGGGGTCGCTAAGAGTCAGACAGGACTGGAGCAACTTAACAGGGCAGGGCACACTGGGATGTGGAGAACACACAACATTACCAGTCCACATGGGTGGACTTGGCTATTTGTCATATTGCTGCTGGTACTTGGAGAAGACACAGGAATTCTGATCAAGTCTCTTTCATGTTTTTCTTATCAAAACGGGGAAAAAAAGGGTGTAATGTGTTTGTAATTGTTTTCACTGCATGCCAGAGTGTATCCCTACCAGAGGAGACCTCTGTTCTGACCAAGTGTTGATGAGAACTGAATCCTCCTTTAACATCTCACACCTGTGGTAACTGGAAAATTTTCACCAGCAAACTCCTGGCTTCGTGTATTTCCGACGTTGTTTCTCCCCACGTCACACGCGCTTCCATTGCCAGGCACCGTAGGACTCATGGGAACCGCTGGTCCTGAACCCTTGACTCACAGGGCGAGCTAGTGACCCCTGACTTCTTAGAGAAGTGACCCAACCGCATCCGCACCACCCAGGAACCCAAACCAAGGGTAGCGCTCAGACACAGGGCAGAGGGCGACTGTGGAAATGGAGCAGAAAGGAGTCGGAACCATTTGTGGTGATGTGGTTTACATGTGCAAAACCTACCAAAATGTGAGCGCATCACTAGGCCCAACCAAGTGAGCGCTTGCAAGCGAGGGGCCTTCATGGTGGGCCCACCTCTGCTTAACTTCTGCCCCATGAATGGCAGATGTTCTTGAAAATGTGCCAGACCCCATCAACTCCCAATCAGGAGCCCACTCCCACATCTAGACCAGGAGACTCCTCTTCCTATGGCCTCCCTTCTCTCCGCTCTGCTCTTCCTTCTTTCCCACAGGCGTCGCTTCCCCAGGATGGAGCCTCTGTGTCGCCCTGATTGGGCCTCCCGGATCCGAACCAGCCCTGCAGCAGCGGCAAACGCTCTGAACATTTGCCTTAATAATTCCATTGTTTTGAGTCAAATGTTGCTTCTCTGTAACTTCGACTCATTCGTCCTCCTGGTTCAGATGAGAGCCCTTCAAATAGTTCCCACCTGTCTCATCCATCAGTCTGGGTTTGTCAGCCGGTGGTTACATAGGTGCTGGTCAAGGTGCCGGTCTATGAGAAGAGTTTGCAAACCATCTTCACTCCTGCATGCTCGGTTGAGTTCAGCTGACTTTCTTTTGTAGCAAGCTCTATCAAGGGGCTTCCCTGGTGGTTCAGATGGTAAAGAATCTGCCTGCAGTGCAGGAGACTGGGGTTCAATCCCTGGATCAGGAAGATCCCCTGGAGAAGGGACAGCTAGCCACTCCAGTATTCTTGCCTGGAGAATCCCATAGACAGAGGAGCCTGGTGGGCTACGGTCCATGGTGTTGAAAAGAGTTGGACACGACTGAATGACTAGCAACTTATCAAGGAAGCAGGGTGTTGAGTTTGTCCTGTGGCAAGCAGTCAGGTAAGAGTGTGTGAACGGGCAGCTGGTCCACAGGTCATACTTTGAGCAGCACCATCTTTGAGGAGATTATTTACAGTCTCAGGAGGTTTGTAAATAACCTCTTGCTTCCCTGCCTGAGTTCAGAATTACTTGAGAGACACAGGACTTGGACGGGTAGAGATTAAGCTATTAGCTTTATTACTGAAAAGCTGATTAGAAAGATGGGTTATACATCTGTGGCCCAAGGCACTTCACTGTAAGTTCAAATTCCCTTTGAATTCATTTCACCCACCATGTCCCAGTCTGGTGGGACCATAACTCCCCAGGGCAGAGAGCCAATCAGGAGGCATGCAGCCTGCAGGTAGGTGATCAGAGCAGGATTGGTTCGAAGGTGTTCAATTCTCCTCCCAAACATCACCCATCGTTTCCTCTGAGAGCGGAGGAAAAGGTAGAAGGTGGGGTGGGATGAGAGGGCCTAAACCTGCATCCGTGGCTTCTGAGTATCTGTGAAGTCCCTGAAATTGAGCTGTTTGTGTGATATTTTTCCAGATAGTCTACAGTAGGTATTGTGGGCACCTTGACCAGATCCCTTCAGCCCCAGGGCTGCGATGAGTGTTGGCTGTTAATCACAGCTGCCCCCTTCTCTGTGATAACAGCCAACACTCACCGCAGCCTTGGGGTTAAAGGGATCACAGCTGCCCCCCTTCTCTGGGCTCCCCAGGTGGCACTAGTGGTAAAGAACCCACCTGCCAATGCAGGCAGATGTAAGTAGACCCGGGTTCAATCCCTGGGTCAGCAAGATCCCCTGGAGGAGGAAGTGGCAACCCACTCCAATATTCTTGCCTGGAGAATCCCATGGACAGAGGAGCCTGGCGGGCTATAGTCCTTAGGGTTGCAAAGAGTCAGCCGTGGCTGAAGTGACTTAGCAGGCATGCAGGCCCCATTCTCTGATTAGTTTTCTTTGGCCATAAGGGAGCCCCTAGCCACAGAGGCTACACTTGCCCCCAGGAGGGGAAACAGACTGCATCAAAGGCTGCCCCCTGGCCTCAAGGTGGGAACAGCCATGTAGCGCAGCTCCTGACCCCGGGCCTCTCCTGAGGTCAGGCTGAGCTTAGCTGCCGCTGAGACCACCATCCAGCTAAGTCCTTCTCCCCGGCCTGCGCCTGCTCCCCTCAGTCTCTTTCTCCTCGGAGCCCTCCCTCCAAAAGTCACTTGTACAAGAACCCCTGTCTCCAAACACGTAAAAAGTTGCTCAACATCACTCATTACCAGAGAAATGCAAATCAAAACCTCAATGAGGTACCATTACACACCAGTCAGGATGGCTGCTATCCAAAAGTCTACAAGCAAGAAATGCTGGAGAGGGTGTGGAGAAAAGGGAACCCTCTTACACTGTTGGTGGGAATGCAAACTAGTACAGTCACTATGGAGAACAGCGTGGAGATTTCTTAAAAAACTGGAAATCGAACTGCCATATGACCCAATCCCACCCCTGGGCATACACACCAAGAAAACCAGATCTGAAAGAGACACGTGCACCCCAGTGTTCATCGCAGCACTGTTTATAATAGCCAGGACCTGGAAGCAACCTAGATGCCCATCAGCAGACGAATGGATGAGGAAGCTGTGGTACATATACACCATGGAATATTACTCAGCCATTAAAAAGAATTCATTTGAATCAGTTCTAATGAGATGGATGAAACTGGAGCCCATTATACAGAGTGAAGTAAGCCAGAAAGATAAAGACCAATACAGTATACTAACACATATATATGGAATTTAAAAAGATGGTAACGATAACCCTATATGCAAAACAGAAAAAGAGACACAGATGTACAGAACAGACTTTTAGACTCTGTGGGAGAAGGCGAGTGTGGGATGTTCTGAGAGAATAGCATTGAAACAAGTATACTATCAAAGGTAAAACAGACCACCAGCCCAGGATGGATGCATGAGACAAGTGCTCAGGGCTGGTGCACTGGGAAGATCCAGAGGGATCGGGTGGAGAGGGAGGTAGGAGGGGGGATCAGGATGGGGAACACATGTAAATCCATGGCTGATTCATGTCCATGTATGGCAAAAACCACTACAATATTGTAAAGTAATTAGCCTCCAACTAATAAAAATAAATGGAAAAAAAATAAAAAATAAAAAAAAGAACCCCTGTCTCAGGCTCTGCTTCCAAGAACTTGACCCAATTCAGGGCTCATTAGCTCTCATCAGATTCTGAAAGTGGTTTAAAATCCCATAGCGGGTTGTATATGTATGTGCATGCATGCTTAGTCACTTCAGTCGTGTCCTACTCTTTG